AGCGGTGTGGTCTCCCGCGAGCGGCCGACCCTTCGTCCCTGCGTTTCTGCGTTTGGGGCTGGGGCCATGAAGGGCAACAGGAAACCTATTCTCCAGCATCACCTGCCAACTTTCCACTGAGATGTCTCCGGAAACCAGTTCTGCTTCCCACAGCAGTGTGGGGAAAATGAAGACAATTTACAAAATCACAGAAATAACCTAAATCTCAAATCCCTACCAAATGTGAAAGCCCCTGTGACCCATTTTCTCTGAAGCCTGAGATCAAAGCTGGGCTCTTCTTTCAGGTCTTCCAGGACCTTGTCTCTGGGTTTGAGGAAGACCCAGAACTCAAACCACTGCTCAAACCAGGCACTAATGAATATGTAAGTCTTTATGGTTTCTCCTAGATGTTTGTGTTTATTATTACATTTTCTGTCCTTCATCTTTATGCCTTTTATGTCCTAAGCGATGCTAAACTCTTCCAGTGTAGGGTCAGGTCTTACACCTCTACAACCAGCCCCGCTCCCTGCCGTTTGGTTCCCCTGTCCTTAATGGTTCCATGCTGGGCCCTGGTGCTCACAGCCACAGTCAGAGAACCTTCCTTGGTGGGGTCACCCCCCTTCTATGAGCCTCCCCGGCATTGACCACACCTGTCTGGAAAGGGCCTTCGTGGTCAGACCAAAGTAATCTACACAAGAATGGCCCATACTTACCCACTAGGTCACTCCTTTCAGGGACAGGCCTCCTAGATTCACTCTCCTTTTTACTTCCTGTGATACTGACTGCTAACTCATCAAAGTTTCTCCCCCTTCCCAGGCACACAGCTTCTCTTTTTCTAGGTGGGCCCACGTGCAGGAGTTCTGGCTGGAAAGGACACACACCACCGCTAGGCCTCAACACAAAAATCACAAAACCTTCCCATTTTTTCTCTTCCTGTCTCCAGGGCCAGAAGCAGAGCCTTGAAGATGCTGGGGCCACACTCTAGAAGGAGCCTGCAGCCCTGGGTTCCTACCAGGAGAGCAACCTGCATTTTGTGTGCGCGAAATAGAAACCCTCGTTCTGCTGAGTGTTGGGTGGAATTGCATCCCCACAAAAGATGCTGAAGTCCTCACCCTCAGGACTGGTGAGGGTGACCTCATTTGGAAACAGGGTCTTTGCAGAGAAATCAAACTAAAATTGAAGTCATTAGGGTGGGCCCTGATCCAATATGACTGGTGTCCTTTTTTTTTTTTTAAGATGTTGGGGATAGGAGTTTATTAATTAATTAATTTAGTTTTGCTGTGTTGGGTCTTCGTTTCTGTGTGAGGGCTTTCTCTAGTTGTGGCAAGCGGGGCCACTCTTCATCGCGGTGCGCGGGTCTCTCACTATCATGGCCTCTCTTGTTGCGGAGCACAGGCTCCAGACGCGCAGGCTCAGTAGTTGTGGCTCACGGGCCTAATTGCTCCGCGGCATGTGGGCTCCTCCCAGACCAGGGCTCGAACCCATGTCCCCTGCATTAGCAGGCAGATTCTCAACCACTGCGCCATCAGGGAAGCCCACTGGTGTCCTTTTATAGAAAGAGCAGATTTGGACACAGACATGCACACAGGGAGAAGATGAAGAGCCTGGGGTGAGGTTTCCATAAGCCAAGGGATGTCAAAGATCGAGAGCAACCTGCAGAAGCTGGGAGAGAGGCCTGGGACAGTGTCTCCCTCACAGCCTCAGAAGGTACCAACCCTGCCGACACCTTGATCTTGGACTCGCAGCCTCCAGAAAGGCGACACAATAAATTTCTGTTGTTCAAGCCCCCAGCGTGTGCTACTGTGTGATGGTGGCCCTAGGAAACTCATACACGAAGCTGCTGAGATTTTGGTGGTGGTTGTTACAGCAGCTCTGATCATTCAGTAGCAAAATCCTGACTTTATTTGAGGTGTGGGGAGCCCAGATAAAAGACATTTCCCAGCATCCTTGGCAGCCTGGTGGACACGTGGCCAAGCTGTGACCTTTAGATGGAAGCAGAGTGTCAGCAGCCCATGCGGGGAGACAGCCTGAGGCGCTCAGTTACAGGAACCACCCTGTGCTTCACCCGCCCTCCCGTCTTCCAGCCCGGCATGCAGACATGATGCCACTGTGCATCACAAAGCAACACGTCTTCCATCCAGTTTCAGCAACTGCTATCTTGAGTTTTCTGTTAAACGTAGCCAAATGTGATCCCAAATGATCTAAGAGATTTTTTTTTTCTTGTGGTACGCGGGCCTCCCACCGCCGCGGCCCCTCCCACTGCAGAGCACAGGCTCCAGACGCACAGGCCCAGCGGCCACGGCTCACGGGCCCAGCCGCTCCGCGGCATGCGGGATCCTCCCGGACCGGGGCACGAACCCGTGTCCCCCGCATCGGCAGGCGGACTCCCAACCACTGTGCCACCAGGGAAGCCCGATCTAAGAGATTTTTATATTTTAAAAGAAGCCTTTGTGCAGGTGTGATGTCCACACCCACAGGAATGAATACACAACAGGAGTATTTCAGGCACCTGCTGGGCGGGGAGAAGTAGGTACTCCAGGGGGTCTTTCTGGAGCCCCTCAAACTGCCATCTCAGAACATACATCAGACACTGAACGAAAACACCCCTATTCTCTTGGGTGGTGGGTACCACAGCAGCAGCCACATTGAGATCATGCCTTTTCCAACTTAATTTTGTGGCTTAAGTCAAAAGTCTGACCAATTCTGAGCTATACCGAGAACTATAAATGCAGAAACAGGGAAAGTCAGAGTGAAACATCTCCTGAGTTTGCATTAGGCTGCAGGAAAACCGAGCTCAAATGTAACCACATGCACAGGCTTATACAACAAAGGTGACAGAAAAGATTCCACACATCAGCACGGGACGTAAATGCTGTCCAGTGTCCCATCAAGCAGCACGTGGCTGAGATGAAGCACGACGGTGTCACCTCCAGGTTCTCTGTTAAATTTCAGAGAAGAATGGGACACCGACTGCAGAGCCAACCTCACCCCGTGTGCAAAGTGCTTTTTATTTCTTATTCCCTGGGCCCTCTCTCTTTGCCTCTGGGAATCAGCCACAAGAGTGACAGCTCAACTGCAAGAGTAAAATGCTGAAAAATACCTGCTATGTCAGGAGCGCCACAATAGAATATGGACGACCTATAACCTCCAGTCTGTCCATGCTGGCTGGGATGATTGGTTAATGCAGCTAACCAACCAAACATGAAAATAACTGGTCGTTTGGCTTCCCGAGTAGAATCAGTAAAATACCTCAGAACTCTCTTTTAGAGGCACTGCACCCCCCATACATTATTTTATAAACAGAAGAAATAAAATGTTGTGTCGATGCTATTCCGTATATCTAAGATACAAATCTGCTTCATTTTTGCTCACACCCGAGCCTTAGGAAAGCGATGGTGACTACCCAGCGCCATGGGAACGGCAAGGCGGTGGGGGAGGGAGGAGGGGCGTTGGGAGCTTTTCACGCTCCTGACCCTCAGGACCCCTAATGGGGTCATCACAACCAGGCCTGAATGTGACTAAAAGCAAACTCCATTCTGAAAAGGTAGGTATAACCCCTTGACTTGGATAGAAAAATAACAGGACTCTCCAAAGAAGTAAAAGTATTTAACTGAATGGCTTTCTTAAGCAGAGTTACATCTACTTTTTAAATTACGGATTCGCAGGAAGTTTCAAAAATAGTGCATTGAGTTCTGTGCTCCCGAACCTTAGCTTCCCCAGTAGTGACCTCTCATATCACTGTGGTGCAGTCACTGGACTATGGCCAGACCCCCGAATCTCACAGCCTGGTAGAATGGTCCCCCACTGTAGACCACACTGGAGAAGTGGCTTGGGGCAGGCACATCTCTTCCCCCAGAAAACCCACCCCTCCTCCTCTGAGGAGAAGCAGCTCCTTCTCAGCCTGGCTCCCTGTGATGCCATGCAAGTGTTTTGAGTGGGCTTTGTATCCATCCTGACATCCATCTTTTGGCTTTTTTTTCTTTCCGTTTACGTGATTTAATTATTTACTTTTGATTATATTATTACTTATCTTTAATTCTGAATTTCTGATAATCATTTGATAGTTCTGCAGAATATTATCATTTTGGATTTTTTTCTAAACGCTATCTCTAAATAAATCTATTTTATCGACGTTTGAACACTTTAACCACTTTTAACCAGTGATTACTATGCTGTTGGAGATCTTTTCAGGACTTTCCCCCTAACCAGCTCTCCTTGGGGCCTGAAACCCTGCCATCGAGACAGGAGCCAGAGTGGCTTCCCGAGGGAATTACAGCAACTGCTACGAGCTTTGACTCCGTGCATGAAGGTAGGATGCTGAGCAGGGTCCTGCAGGGAAGGTGGCACCTGGGTGGTGGCAACCATGGGAAGGAGAGGTGGGACTGTAAAGGCTCAGGATTCTCCGCGGATTAGGGCAGAGGAAGGCCGAGAAAGGTCAAGTTCTCTTTACTTCTCAGCTTTCCCAACGGTCTGCCTGGGACGGCACACATCAGTTCCAATTTTTCGTATAGATATACATGTGCACATGTCACCGCCAACATGTGTGGGGTCCTCGAGACTCTCTGGAAAGTTCCGTCCCTGCAGTGGCAAGGACGTGAGGTGCCCCGTGTGCCATGAAGATGCCCCCAGAGCCACGGAGACAGGTGGCTCCTCGGCCCTGTGGGGAGATTCTCAGAAGGGGGAGGACTCAGGCAGGCCCGGCTCCAGATCCCAGGGCTGGACGCACATATCCGTGCGGCTGGGGCTTTGCCCAGAGTGTTGCAGGCAAGGCCGGCGCGTCCTGCGGTGGCCTCCAGGCCTCGGCACTGGTGGAGCTGCGGGACCTTCTGGCTGGGAGGCCCGCACCTACACTTCCATCCCATCGAATCAGTATTGGCGACCGTGGGCTTCATTCTGAACTGCTAGGACATGAGCCATCTTGGCCTCCAAAAAGAAACTCTGCGCAGATTATCTCATAAAGCTTTTCTGCTTCTTTCCTCCTGAGCCGCAGGAAGAGTTAAGGAAAGACCAAAAGCACTTACTTTTCTTATCTGTCGTGTTGTGCACGGTCACCGTGGGGACCCCAGGACCTGCAGTGGGCAGAGAAACAAAAAGGGGGTCGTGAGTTTTGTGGAGAACAAAAGAGAACCAAGCCTTTGTTACAAGGTGCTCACCAGGGGCCCTGGGGAGCCTAGCTCCGCGGAAGAGTCAGCAGCCATGGACGATGGCAGAGGCCGGGCCCTGGGTGTTACAAGCACATCTTCCTAGCTTTGTGTCTGCGTCAATTACAATGAACCCAATGGAAAGTGTGTGTGTTTTAGATTATTGTAACGACATAAAACATCTATACTCTTATAACCTTATTCTGACTGTCCAGACACAATTCCACGTTGTCTTCATGGAGTTCTGGTCTATCACTGCAGACTCAGTCCTAAGTCACCTTTCAAAGCTGCCTTGCTGGGCCCTCCTGGAGGAAGCCATCACCTCCACTGGTCTCCTGTAATGCTTGGTAAAAACTTACTAGTGTAACGGCATAATTTTGCAAATGTTCATCTGCGTTTCAATTTTCCCTGATGACGTAGCTCACAGCTTCCGGCTCCAAGGCTGTCCTGAATCTGCAGCCCTGGGGTGAGAAGGGGGCCTGGCCAGCTGTGGGTCAAGTCTGTAGGTCGACTTCGTTATTCTCTTTAGCAAAAGGAGGGTCCAGAAAGAGAAAAAGGCTTATGTAAATTATTTTGCAGCTATTCTGAAGGTGTATTAAGAGGCAGGCGTGGGTTTTTCTAACTTCATCTCTGCCCCTTCTCTGCACTCCTGTTCGGCCGGGGCGGGCCTTCCCACGGGATGTGACGGACACCAAGCTTATTCCCACCGGGCCTACTGTTCTCTCTGCCCGAAGTCTCCGTCCCCAGACACCGGCGCAGCTTGTCTTTGTGTTCATTAAGTCTCTGCTCACATGCCTCCTCCCACCACTTACTGGAAGAGACCCCTCCACGACCATCGGCCCAGCTTCCACCTGCCCCTGCTGCCTGTTCTTCACAGGGCGCTGCCCATACCTAACGGCAGGACCCTCTAGTATGCATTTTCAGTATTTGTTCATTGGCCCTTTCAACTGCCCTAGAATGCAAGCTCTAGAATTTATATGAACAAATTCTGGAAGTCTGTCTTTACTGCCATTATTTGCAGCATCTAGAATACCGTTTGGAACATAGTTGGGGCTAGATTACATATTCGTGGAGCGAATGCCAAATGATCACAGAACACACAGGGCGGAGCAGGGGAGGCTGCCCCTTCGGCCCTGGTGCACTTGGGAGGAAGGAGACAGACAGGAAGTGAAGGCTGGCGGAGGGCAGGTGCGCAGAGAAAGATGGACGCGTTCTGGGAGCTGTAGGCCCGGGGCTGCTTTTCCTCTGCCTCAGGCTGGGGTCTCTGGGACGCTATGAACTCCCAGGGGTGGCTGCACCTAAGCTGGGGATTCGTACTGTTTGGGCAGCTTCCGGGGGATCATCATCAGAACGTCCTGCCTGCTTCCAAGGGGCCACGTGACAAGCAGCTGAGTTGAGAGCCAGGGTACCGGCCACGGATCTCACCACAGTGAGGCTCAGAGCCCACCCTGCAGGGGCTGCTGAGTGGACATCCTAGTCCTGCGTCCCGAGAGAATGTGGCAGAAAAGCAGTGCAGTCCGAGGTACCATGGAAGGGCAAGATGGGCTGGTCTGGCCCGGGAGCACCCCCCAGCCTGGCTGAGCTGAGAGACAGACTGCGGTCACAGCAGCTGTGGACCTGAAGCCTGTCCGCTACCTGGGACTGGGCCCAGACACTATCCAGTGCACATCCGAAGTCCGGGAGGTCCGAGGCCTCGTCTCCCCGACCACGTGGCCCTCCCCCATTCACCCATAGATAGGATTGCCCAAACAGAATGCAGCTTAGCCAGTTATATTTGAATTTCAGATAGACAATATATAGTCTTCAGTATAAATACGTCCCATGCAGTATTGGGACTTACTACTAAAAATCCATGTGTTGTTTACCTGAAATTTTGTGTTACTGGGTGTCCTTTTTATTTGCTAAATCTGGCACCCTTGACCCAGGGACGGGGAGGGGCGAGCAGTGATGTGAGACTCTGTGCATTTAACCTAAAGGGACAGCACTCACTGAAGGGGATCTAAGCATTGGCTGTGGGTTTAAATTATTGAGTCAAACTAAGTTTTCTGGCTCAAAGATCCATTTCCCCATGGGGCACTCATGTGGAAGAACAGATCAGTTACTGAGAAATAAAGAACCTGCATCTCTTTTCTCTGCACATTTCAGGGTGAGTAAATTTGCAAACAGAGCACATCCTCCATTCTCATTAATAATGTAAACAATTATTATTTATTTAGTGCCTACTATGTAAAAGGCACTCTGCTAGGTGTGTATATGAATAATTTCTAATCCTCACACCAGCTCTACAAAGCAGGTGCTTCTATCCATATTTTACAGATGAGAAAACACAGGTTTCAAGAGCTTTATGTTTTTTGTCTCAGCCATACAATAAGAAAGTTGCTGAGCCTGGATTAGTCCCTTCTTATTTTTAAATCCATAAACTTGATATATGTTTCTAAAAAAATTCAAAAACTACAAAAAGGAATAAAGTGACAAGTAAAAGACCCTTCTCACCCCACTTTCCAGAAGTAACCTAAATGTCTCTAAAATGTCCTAAAATGTTTCTCTGCATATAAGTGGTCAAATTTACACATAAGCAATTATTTTAAACATACAAATAAAAAATATAAAAACCTTTCATGTAAATATGAAGCTTTATCAGACCTTAAGATTATACCATATTGCCTTACTTTTTAAAAATAAAACATAATACACAGATTTTTGAGGTCACCTGTGTGCCCTGCCCTAATCTCAGTCTGCTCCCTTTCCAGAGGTAACTGTTATCTTGGAGTTAGTATTTATTATTTCTCTGCATATTTAAAAGATATTTTTGCCGCATGGTATGTGTTCACAATAACATATATGGCACACACAGTATAATATAGCATACCTCAGTGTAACATCTTTTATATTGCCTTAATATCCAGTCTGACAATAGCAAGAGAATGAAGCCAAATGCCCAGAGAATGAGTAAACACAGCCACTGTGGAGAACAACTGAGCAACGGCTGTGAAACCTGAAGATCCCTGACACCACCAGACAGTCCCATCCCTGGACCACATCTCAGAGCGAGCCCTGCACACGGACACAAGGAGGCAAGCACGCAGTAGATCGTTCTCAACAGCAGCTATGTCTGAGCCACAAGTGCCGAGCTAGCCATGGGCAGGGGAGGGGATGACTTAAATGCAGTCTGTCTGTTCACCCAGTGGAAGATTGCAGAGCATGTGAAATGAGTAGACAGACACCTATCAACACGGGTAAGTATGAAAAATACCACGTTGCATGAAAACAACAAGTTGCAGAATGGTAAATACTGTAATATACAATGATGTAAATAATTTTCACAATCTGTAAACCTTCGTTTTCAGCAGATGTATGGTATTCCATTCCATGCATATACCGTATTTCTTTGGTCCACTCCCTACTGATGGATATTTAGGTGGCTTCCTTTTGTTTTTTCATTGCCATAAACACGTTGCAGAAGTCCCTCTAACATACATCTTCACACACAGGGAAGACTGTGTTGGTTAAGCTAGTTACTGGCATTGCATTGTTAAAAAGGTTTTATAGCTGGTTTTCACTAAATAAGCTTGTGGTTTCAAACACAAAACCCCCAAGTCTCAGTGCTTTAAAACAATGAAAGTTTATTCCTTGCTAATGTTACATCCTGGTAGATGGTCAGCTGTGGCCGTGCTGGTCCTCCTCCAGGATCTGGGCTGAAAGGATAGCCTTCATCTACAACGTACTGCGCTCATGGCCAAAGGAAATGAGAAGGGAGCTGCAGAAACGCAGCAGCTCCTGAAACACCCTGGGCCATAGCTCATGTCCGCTCTGGTGCCTTTGCCAATGGAGCCGGAAAACCTCTCGGGGGGGGGGGGGGGGGGGGCGCAGGTCACGCACGAGGGGAGGGTGGTTCCAGAGGGCAGACAGGGGACAAGGGCATTAGTGCCCCAGGCTGAGACCCTGGACTCCAGTGAACACTGTCTCCTCGCCCTCTAAGTGAGGGTGGGTGCAGGTCTATGGTATAACTTAAAAAAATGTGTGGTCTTTTTCACCGCTCTAATGGGCAAGTATTGTATCTTGGTACTGCTTTAAGTTACCTTTTTCAACTTTTGAGTGGAGCTGGACAACTTTCCGTGTGTGACATCTGCATTTCGTGTGTGTGTGACTGCAAACTCCCCTTTCCCGTCCATTTAAATTGCGTTGTTGCTCGTTCTCCTCTTATTTAGGAATGAGATCGTCACCGTGCTGCTGCAGACTTTTCTCCTGTGTTCTTTCTAATTTGTGCCTCAAAAAGTGTCGTGTACCAATGGTAGCAACTGGCATGCTGAATTGTACTTTCAAAAAACATAATCGCTCCTGCGTGCACGCACACACACGCGCGCGCACATGCACACACACACACACACGCACACGCACACGCACACACACACACAGGAATCCTTGGGCTGGGGATCTGAGTCATCCCAGAGCCTGTTCTGAATCTGGGAATCAGTGCCCTGAACAAAATGTTTGCTGAATGGATTAACAGCGCATGCAGGATGACTTCCCAAGCATATACTTGGCCACCATGTGTCAAGGCAGCAAAGTTAAATTCAGCTAAAGAAGGATCCCCTAAGACCATTCCCATGTCCTGTGTCTCACAGTTCAGGTCATTGTTTCCCTGCTGATACTGAGCACCCACCCCGCTTTTCTCTAACCACCGAGGGTAGCTGTCTCCACTTATAGGATCTGAATTGTGTGTGGTTTTCTTTTTGAGAGCCACATCACAACTGTGCCATATTCCCTGTTATTTTAATACAGAATATTCTTCAGAATAGCCAGAGACAATACAAATAAAAGCTATATTTAAAGGGGACACAAAGTTACAAAGCAGCCCCCATGTATAATTTACATCGGCTGATTGCAACCTAAGCCCACCAGTTATCCAGACCCTCCTCTGGGAGCTG